ATTTAGAATTTGTTTACAACAAAACTAGTATATTCATCGTGACTTGCGTGCCCTGCTCGGCACGCACTCATCTCTAAGCAGAACGCCTCTCCTTGTGACACTTCAACTGTCGCAGTTGCCTGTCAAAGCGCTTCGCTGCTGGACGCACTGCAGCACAAGCTCCGCTGCCTGCTGCCCATAAATATATGCATTCATATTTATATACATTTTCCATGCTGTACAGCTATATTTGATCTCCCAGCTAATCCCTGGGTGGGGGTCCACGTGGCCGCAGAACACTCTCTAGAAGATTGGGGCCGGGCTGATTCTTGGGCCGAGGTGTGGGCGTCAGGGAGCGCGTGTGCGGCGCTGCATCCTCCTTCTTGTGGACAGCCGAGGTGGCAGCACGTCGTGCCCGAATCTTCTCCTCCATCTTGCTGGGCACCATGAAGCAATTGGATTCCTTGTAGACGGGCTTGCGTCGGTCGTTCCACGGGAAGGTCCACTGAATGGGCGTAAAGTCGCGCCTCCAGGGCTTGCGGGGCTTGAACCAGCAATCGCATGTCCAATCCTCCTCGCCGGGCTCATCGTCATCGCTGTAAGGATTAGGATTATGCTATCGGCTGATTGCGTGACTCCAACTATCGTTTCACTTACCCCCTGACATAGACGCGCACATATCGCGAGGATCTGCGAAAGATCTGCAACGCCTCGTTGAAGGTCAGCTCCAGGGCCGGCACATCGTTGATCTGTGTGATCTCGTCCCCGATGCGCATGCCCCCGCGCTTGGCCAGACCCGTCGGCGAGACGTTCACAATGGTCAGCGGCTCGAATTGATCGATGCCCCCGGTGACCTCCATGCCCCACATGGCATCGTAGAAGCTCATGACGCGCCGATCCGTCTCCAGGGTGTAGCTCATCTGCAGCTCGTACTCGACATTGTCGAATGCGTCCGAGTCGTACTTGGGCACCTTAATCTTCGAGTCGAACATGCTGCTACTACTATACTACTATTCTACTCCTATTGCGGGGACCGTGTGGAAACTGACGGAACTGACTGAGCGTCCTCTTCACACGTTTTTGCGCCTTTGCCGCTGCTGGGCGTTCGCTTTTATAGTCGCCGCCGCATCGGCACTTGGCACACGACGAACGCCGCCCCCGACCGCCAGCTCGCAGCCTCCCCATGCCCATGCCCATGCCCATCTATCGCTGACAATGTCAATGTCTGTGTCTCCGCCGGTGCCGCTTGCCAAGTTAATCGATCCGCCTTCGATTTGCATTTAATTGCGTCTATTTTTACGTGTCTTACACACACGCGAAAGCGGAAGCCCATTGTGTTGTAGTTGCTGCTCCTCTTTCTAGGGTCTTCCACTGCGCCTTATGCAGCCAAGGCAAATCCAATGGGGGATTCCGTCCAGCCACTGCGCTAGCTCCATTTAAGCCAGATCCACTTGCAACTGCAACTGCATCTGCAGCCAGTCGGCAGTTGGCAGTTCTTAAAGTGCGAACAAGTCAAAAGAGCGAGTGGTCAAGCGCTTGGATTTCACTGACCTCAATCAGACTCCAGTGACAATGCAACTAGCAACAACAACTGCAGCATGTCTAGCTCAGTGCGAGAGGGTGTGTAGGAGCGACTAGCAGACACCCTGTAGCTGATTTTACTCAGAAGCATCTAGCTAAATTTAGATGCCAATGCAGTCACTCCACTCTAATATCTAGGTGCTACAATCGAAAAGGAAAGCCGACTATCAGATACCCTGCGATATCTCACTCAAACTCATTTGCATGTAAGTATATCCCTTTACATAGCATATACCCTACACTTCTAAGTTGCTAAGCTATTAAACAAAGGAATTTATTTCTAATTTGCAAATATTTTGAGATATTAGATAAAGGTTAAATTCACTTTGGATCAGACTTGTATCTGAATAATAATAATGTGGTTCGAGTTTTATAGAACCTCAGTTGATAAGCATAAAGTCCCCATTTGATCTCCTAGACACAATTACCTTACACTACATACACATCATAAAACTAATATACCCCATTGGAAATAAAACCACAGGGTATTCACTAGCGAGACCACAACTAAAGCCCACAACGGCAACTGTGCGACTTAAATGCGGATTTTACTGCCCGTCGACTTTTGAATTATTCATTTGAGCGAGCAGACGGAGAAAAAATCAACAAAAGGCCCATAAAAACGGAGATGGTCAGCAGGCAGGTTAACTGAAAGAAGAAGAAGATGAAAAAACAGCAAACTACCAGGCACCAGCTACCAAATGGCAAATGCCAAACGGTCAACTGACCAAATGGCCAAAAGGCAATGACAAGTTGCCTAATTACCGCTGCTTCGCTTCGCTCGAACGAATGTTCAGTAAATTTGTCCCCAGCTCGGCCCGGCCCTTGGCCAAGTTAATGCGCATACCTTGAGCCACGCCTCGATCTCCTACATGCCCCATTCCCTCCCTCTGTGGGCTTGCCCTTGTGGCACGTCCTGTAAAGTCGACGATTTGCATCGCCGACAATTGCTTTGGCCTTATTCGGCAATTCAGCGCACAATTGTGTCGAAGATTTAGTGCGCACTCTGAATGGATTTACATAACGCATACGCAGTGTGGTCTGTGTATGGAGCTATTGTGACTTTCAAGTGACTTATTAGCCGCGCTAAGGCCCAAAGGTCTTTAGTCGCAGACGTTAGCTGAAGCGTACTTAAAGTGATTCGTAGAACAATAGCAGAGTCTCTATCGAATCGACGTAGAACTTACGCAATTGAATTAAATGTATAAACGGGCTCAATAAATACTATAGAAGACTCAGAAAAGAATATATAACATAAGACTTTGGCGATTGCAATGAAGAACGAAAAAAAGGAAGAATAAATAAATAATTATATTAAGCTCTGGCTTTAAAGTTTATTTTATTTGATTGGAATTCATATTATTTAAACTATCAAGCAAGCTAATTACTCTAATTAAATTCAATTTTACCTAAGTCAGAGCCTATTCATCATTGTTTATGGTAATACTAGAATACACTTCTTTGATCGTATATTATACCAACTCGACATTTTTCGCATAATCTTGATTTGACGTTTTTTTTTTATGGAAATTTTATTTCAATATTATTCTCACTATAATAATAATCCCTATGAATTTCAGTATCCATTATAGGTCATATTATTATAATAAAAGATATTGAAGGTTCTTTATTGCCTAGTGATGTAAGTAATAATTGTCATGCAAGAATATTTGCCGTCACTGGTTGCAAAATATATTAATAGTACTTACCTTACGAAAATAAATGATATTTAATAATATATGTTAATATTATAAATCAAATATCTAAATGGATTTCTCCAATTGTGTTGTTTTTTACAGTTTTTATTTAAAGCCGTTTTAATTTATAGTTCTTTAGTAGTGAGACGCCCAATTGCACATATATATCATTTGGATTATACATACAGTTAGTATACGGTTGGAAATGTTGTTGTTGATAAAATCGAATCCGACTGGAGAATACTCTACCGCATTTCCTCTGCGCAGACAACAGAGTTATCAATTTTGTTTAACTATATAGTGTTTTATATATATGTAAATATATATATATATCTATATTGAATTTCAAATGTATTTGCATGTACCATATACTCATTTATATGCACTCTAAGTGGAGTTTGCTCAACAATATATAGATCTTCTAATACTTGGATTTAGCTTCGGTTCAGCTTCATTTGCCTTGACTGTGTGCAATTCTGTGTTCTTGTTTCTTTTGTTTTTTGATAAATCAGCGCATTATTGTGAGTAAATATATATATATTTCATTTTGGTTTTATATAGTTATATGATTATTGTAATTACAATTCTCTAATATTTTACAATTCCAAATTAATATTACATAATAGTTTAACAAATGTTTACATTTCGCTACAAACTCAAACTCGATCGCTTAACGTTTCCTGTTCTGCACGTTCTCTAACACTGAAAACATACGAAAGCGAACACCTACCAGCACTTTAGGGGGATATTCGACACTTGTCTCCAGGTACAAGCCACTCCCCATGCTGGGACCCACTGACTTCGGCAAAGACTCTTTGCCCGCCGCCTTTCCCGGCTTAAGCTCGTGCCTCCAAGCAAATGCAAATGCAAATGAGAAAAATTGTTTTACAAATTTTGGGTTTTTTCTTTTCGCCAAGGGGTTTACATCAATAATTTTCAATTGGGGATATTACTGCATATAATTTGCATTGTAAGCGCTATAGTATTTTTGTTTTCGTTTTTAAAGTTCCTTAGAAATGTACAGGTGGCCATTGCATTATATATTTCGATAAAGTTTTTAGACTACGCTAAATATTTTGTTCGCTTTAAGCATTTTGCAGGTGGTTCTTGTGAAATTGAAAAATATTAGAAGAGTTACATCTATATAGAGAGAAAGTTGGAGTTGGGTTTAAGGCATGAACGAAACGAAAAGCTTGTAAGCTGTCAACTCTATGCATTGAAGCGTGTTTTTTGTTTTCTTTCTTAAATAACTTTGTTTTTCCTTGGTATATTGCCGTGCCATTTACATTGTTCAAAACTTTTTTTGTGGCTTTCCTTATAATTTCATTTTGTTTTTCATATTCATCGAACATATAGAGAATAGAATTTGTATTTCTAGAGATTTGTATTACTGAGCGTACGCTTACTTTTTAAGTCCCACACTACGTTCTATATACTGTACGGTCTTTCGTTAACATACACACATATTATATAGGTATATATATATATATATATGTATATATATTTGTTGCATATGTATATGTAATTGCATTTAGTTTTTGTTTGTTTTTTATATGTCTTGCTTGACTTTGCGTTAATTAATCAATATATATATATTGAAAATTTGTGTATAAACAGCAAATATATATACGTTTTATACAATATTGGTTTTATATATAGAAATATATATATGATTTTATATATGTTTGCTTTAGTTGCTCCTTTAAAATGCATATATATGTATGTTTGTTTGTTTGTTTTGTGTGTGGAGTGTGCTGTTCATGTTCTTGTTCTTTTTCTTGTTTTCGTTTAAACAAAGGCTCTCTAATTCGAACATAATATCACGTGGAAAATTGAAAGTTTGTTCGGCAATTAAATAATAAATTAACTAATATGTTATCATACAATTCGGTAACATAAAAACTATTTACAAAACATATGTTTACATACATATATATATTGTATATATGTGGATATATCAAATGTATTGCCAAATATTGCGAGCGCCCGCTAAGTATGCCACAATAACTGTGCCACGCTCACTGCTGCCTAATTTTGGCCGTTAGCTCAAAATAATAATTATAATTAAATACAATTACAATACTCAATAAACATGTTTTTGTCACTACTTAATTATTACGTACGCTTTGCATTTCGGGTTTTCATTTTCATGTTTTCTTTGTGTTGGGTTTTCTTATATTCCTATATTGTGTGTCGTAACATTAGCGATGGAATCTTTGGCCATGTGACGCTCATTTGCCAGCTGCCTGTGGCGCTTCCTCCTTGTGGCGCCTGCCCATGCCCAGCCGCTGCAGCCAGCCATAGCTCGCGTCTCAGTAAACCAAAACGGACTCCATCGTAATTGTATCTCATTTATTCGCACTAGCTGCATTCGCCGCGTTGCTGGCCTGGATCTGCGATGCCGTCTGCGAGGCGGGCTCCAAAGTACGACGCGCCAGGCGAGATCTGTGTGGGAATAATACATGTTTAATGTCCCATATTATATATAGTACTGCAAAAGGCGACTCACTTGATTTGGCCAGCCAGCAGTGGATTGATGGCATAGAGCCAGTCGTGCACTTCCTTGTCGCCCAAAGTTTGCAGCAGATAGCCGCGATGCTTGGTCACCACGCTGCAAGAACGGGGAAGAAAATAATTAATATTCAATACCATATATGATAGGTCATTATTTCTCAACACAAATTGGCTTTCCTTGATGCAATATATTCTTTCAGTTCCCTGGACTCAACTCACCTAAAGGTGTTGGGTATCTTGACCATAGCTGCCTGATCCTCGCTGCATTCAACCTGTGCCGTGGCCAGATTCAACACAGCTCGCTCCACTGGATCCTTCTCTGAGCGATAGATAAAGACGTAAGGACGTCGTACAATCTGAATGGAATATAGATTTAGTTTAATCAATTAGGACGACTTAGCTACTCTTGGTGTACTGACCACCCAGCGCTTCTTCCAGCCAGAGCCACCGTGCTCGAGCACATTCAACAGGCCCTTGCGTGCCACCACGGGACTAACCCGGATCTCCTCCAGTTCGGGCACATACAGGCGCAAAGGAAGAGCCGGCTGTGTAGCCGGTGCGGGTGCTTCCCATCCATTCGGCGCATCGGAGCGATCCGGTGAGCACAATCTGTGAATGGTCAACATATGTGGGATTAGTTTCCGTCCAAGGAGCTGATTCGATTCAAAAACAAAGTTACCTGCGTCGAATTACAAATTTGTTGTTTCTAATTTGTGTTCAAAATAAAAAGAAACAAAAACGGAAACAAATAACGAAATTGTTTTTTGAGTTTGACAGTTTAGCTGAAGAATAGGTGAGTATATATTGATTCGGCGGATGAGTGTTATTTGGTGAGTGCATTTAGCTAGCGGAACCAAAAATCAGCCATCTATGCAAAGCAAGCCCCATTCACTGACAAGTTACTTGCTAAACTGAAATCTAGAATACCATCAACTATAATTATCATATTCTAGATTAAATTATAACAGTCAAGATCTATAACGCATGGGATCTGCTTTTCAGCATCTCCTAGATTTGTCTTTAAAAATAGTTCTATGTAGTTTTTAGTCCGTTTCTTGTCCTTGTTCCGAGCTATGCCTACATATTATGTTAAACTCAAGTTCAGCCTTCTTCAGATGAATTGATACCTACTCGTACTCAGGCACGCCCACATATTAAAATATCTAAGCTCGACCATATCGCTCAAATATAATCACAAACTAAACCGTAATGAACATACTGCCAGGTGGGTAAATTGTACAGCCAATTGTTTGTGTTTAACGAACGAAAGCAAAGATGGGAATGGATAAAGCATGCGTTAAATACTCATTGAACGTACTCCATGGAATTGCTGGAGATGCAACTGACGGTCATATCGGCGCAGCCCTCATCGCTGGGCGAAACATCTGACTGGGTCTGCGTATCGTTCGCTTCGGACTTGATGTATCGACCTAGAATCAAAGAATCTTCATTAGTCTATGGTCACGGAGTTGCTTCCACAATTTTCGACGTACCTTGCACTAGCTTCAAGCACTTCAGCATGAGTTCCTGCTCGCGTTGATTGTACTCACGCTCTGGCAGCATCTGCTGCGCATCCTTGACTGGCGTTTGGGGCGACTGTGGGATAACCATGTGCACGGGCGAAGTGGCCGCACGGGCAGCCAGATTGCAAACGTCCTTTTCGGTCTTGGTTGTCGGATTGGGATTGGTGTCCATGCCCAGACGCTCACGCAGCAGCAGCAAATGACGCATGCGTCCCACTTCCTCCAGACGTGTCAGCTTCTCCAGCTCCCACTGATGATCGAAGATCAGCGAATCGCCGCGTGGCCGCCAGCCATGCAGATTCTCCTCGCCACGCACATACGTGGAGCTGGTGTCCAAGACACGGCGCTGTCGACGCTGAACTCCTATGAAGCGGATCGTGGAGAGATAAGAGATAAGCATAGTGAATGAAATATTCAAGACGTGTGCGCAAACAGAGGACGAGTACAACTACAATGAGAATTGCTACCTGGACTACCTGCTTCGGATGCTCTGCGCAGCGACAGCTCGTAGACGCCAGAGAGACGATTGGCCTCCGGATTGCGGTACTGGCCAGAGAATAGATGCTTTAGGGAGCGCGGACCAGTGCGTGCATCGCGTCCATAGATGACCATGCTGAGATCCTTGGTAATAATGGCTGGGCGAGCGCAGTTCTCCAGCTAAGGGAAAAGTTAATAGGAATCTCTATAGTACGTAAATCATTGGGACTCACCTCCAGATAGGCGCTGAGCGTAATGTAGATGGTTTCGCCACCCTGCGAGACGCGATTGAGTAGTGCTGAATTGTGCAGACTGGAGTCCCAGGCTGCCTCGAAGCGGTAGAAGGAGCGATCGTCGCCGGGCACCTCGACTACCTCTCCCGGGAACAAGCCCAGCGAGAGCACACAGGCATCCTCGTCCTGCTCATCCGAGGACTCGGGCGTATTGCGGATGCGTCCAACCACCAGCTCATTAATGTCCTTCCACTTCACCTCTGGCGTGGGCTCATGCACAATGGTAATGCGTATGCGTCGCTGTATGCCCTGATGCAGCAAAAAGAGTCCGCGACAGGGCAGATCATCGCTGTGCTCAACCACCTGGGAGAGGGTGCTATTAATCTAACTGCGAACGAGCAGGCTTGGGAGACAGTCGCTTACCGATGGCACATACTCGCCATTGGGGGCCAGCTCACAGATCTCGAACCACACCAGAACATCATGCTTCGCCAAGACCGTGGAGGATGGCGGACAGGGCAGCGGTCCGAATTTGGGACTGCGCACTGGCTGACTAATGGGTATGCTTGGTGGCAGCATGCGTCTTGGTGGTGGACGAGACACGAACTCCTGCTTGGCATCTTTATGCAGAGGATGTGTCTGATAGTGCCCAAAGATCTTAAACATGATGGGCTGGGTCTTCAGATACTCGATAAAGGACTTGGTGACGGGCACAGTTATCTAAAGAGAAACATTACAAGCATGAGATCTATGTAGCCTGAGGGAATTCGAGTGGCTACGCACATTTTGCACATGATAGAAACCGAGTGGAGCGCCCGAGGCGGAGTTCTTGACCGGCTCTGTGGAGAAGGCTTCCTCATGGCGATGCAAGAAGCTGTGAAGTAACATAGGAGTTTAGGTTAAGGTTCAATCCAATATAGATTATGGCAAACCCACTTGAACTGACAGAAGATGTCGGCGTACTCGGCGCCAATGCCCGTGGCCTGAAGCACGGTCACACGGAAGGTGAACTCCTTGCCGATCTGCAAGTGCTCGCCAGGCTCCTCGGCCTGCTCGTGATACTCCGAAGCGGAGTTGGAGTCAATGCCGCGACCAGAATCTGCATCCTCTAGTTCTACAAAGATTAAGAGTTTATTAATGGAAAGTTATCGAATGAAATCCCATGCTAACTTACCTTCCAGTTTGCTATCCAATCCTCCGTTATCTATGTAACGCTGCACATCGTCCTTTTCGTTGAGCGCACGGTACTTGGGCTTAGCATCGTCCTCATTGAAGACCAGGCGAGCCGACTGCTTCACGCCATTGTTGAAGTCGATCGACTCCTCATCCAGCACCGGCTGCACAGCAATGCGCAGATAGCCCCGCACATCGCCTCGCTCGTTGACAATGGCCACCTTGTGCACCAGGGGCACCGGATAGAGCAGATTGCTCAAGTAGATGAAGGAGCGACCGACCATGCGGAACCACGGGAAGCGATCGTAGAATGGATCGCCCCCAGTCAAACTCTCCACATTGTAGTCCGGCGAGGTGGGACTCAACTCAGCCTCGTTGTGATACATTTCACGCATTAGCTCCAAGCGTTGTCTAAAACGAATAGCAAATATGAAAACACGAGGTTATAGAACGTCCGATATGCCAAGCTAATCACAGCAAACAGTGCGCATTGCTAAGGGCCGAGTAAAGAAAGCCAAGTGAAAGGGCAAATGATAAAGAAGTACGAGCAAACATATACATACATATATACAAGAACAAAACCTAGAAAACTACATCGAAAGCCACATTAAGACTTGCTAAAGGATAAGGATCATGCAGGCATTAACGGAAGCAGCTACAATACATACAAATGATAAACCTCGAAATGGAAAGCAAACCTAGAAGGTATCAGATTGGCCAATGTCAAACGCGTGGGATACGCCTGACGCAGCTGAGGCTTCAACTCGGGCTGCTCCATGTGCTGCTGAGACTGGAGCTGACTCTGAGGCGGCGACTGCGGCTGAGGATGAGCCTGGTACTGAGTCGAGGGTGCCGAAGGCTTTGCCAGCTCCCTTGCTATTGCTCCTCCACTGCCGCCCGCCTCAATGCTGGACGTATCGAAGAGCATGGACGAGGGCGGACTCTCGACATTGTACACTTGGCGCATCAATTCGAGGCGATAGCTTTCGGGGATTCGGGGAATAAGTTTGGTTGGTTGGTGGATGGATTGAACGAGAGGTGGGGTTTCAACATGATTGAGTTTTGGAATGTCAGGAGAACCAACAGAAAAGAAAACAGAGTACAAATCAGCATTGGTTAAAGCCTAAACTAGCTTTGTGCTCAGTGTATGGCAATGGCAATGGCGATGAGTATCGAAGGGCGTAAATGGTGGCGGTGAAGATATTTGCCAGCGTCTTGGAGCGGCTTCTCATTTAGTTGAGTTCTCAAATACTAAGTTAAGCAAATGTAGAGCTTTAAGTACAATAAATGGAAGTCAAGAACTACAACCACCATGCACGTACCAGAAAGGAAACTAATCAAATGAAATAATAAATTCAAAAAGAATCAGAAACCAGAAATCAAGTCAAGTCTAAAACAAAAAGTCCACTTCGGACTTGCCGAAGGTTGTATATCCTTGCAGATAAATGGATTCGTACTATAAAGAGAGGACTATGTAGGAATCTTAAATCCCTTAAGTAAGACTTTTAATACATAAAATACATCATCTAATCTATTCTCTGCAAGAATATAACGAAACAGTGCAAAGAGTAGAATGAATGTGAGCAGCAAAGAGTGCCTAGGGTCGAATTTCCTCACCGTAGCTTCTCCAGCGACCAATAATGGGTAGCTCCATTCTTGGTATCTGTGACCTCAACGGCGACTAGAGTCTTCGAGACTGGCGGTGCGCCATACTCATCCTCCGGTTGCATAGGTGTCATGCTCGAGGCCAGCTCCGGTGGCAGCGGCGAGTACAAGGTGTCGGTCAACAAGGTAAATTGGAATTGTACCTGAAAGAAACAGAAGAGGGGAACTGTCTAATAGGCGCATCTCACTACAATTTTCCAGATAGCGACCTTTTTCTTGAGCTCCACGGAAATGGCATTAGCTTCCTTGAGGAATATAGCGTTGCCCCAGAGATCATCGCGCAGCGATGTAAACTGGTGATAGCGCCACTTGCGGAAGGCCCAGGCAGCTAGCCCTGCTTCGCGTGCGGTCCAGCACGACTCGTACATGGGATTGGCTGTGGATTAGAGCAGGACAATGACATACTTATCCATTAATCGTCAGCCTCTACTCACTATAAACATCCTCCTCTTGGTGGAAATCCTCGGGCGAGTAGCTGCTGTACATGGACATGGTCATGGACTGCTCTTCCACTTGCTTCTGCAAGGCATCGATGCGCGCCTCGTAGTTCTTGCGCTGTTCCTCGAACTGTTGGTCGGCCTGGAGCTTTTCGCGCTTGTACTGCTCCTCCAGGTTGTCGAGGCGCTTCTTCATCTCGGCCTTGAGGTCGATGCCCTGCTTCTCCAGCAGCTCGCACTGAGCGAAGTTCCAGTCGACTTGCTGTGTGTCCGCCTTCTCTACCTCATTCTCTGCCTCGTTCTCGGTGATCTTTTCGCGCAGCTCACGCGCCTGTTCAGGATTGGTAAAGCGGAACACGTGATTCTTGCCCAGAATCACGCGTGAGCCTGTCTTCAAGACCTCGGGCTCAACAAGCTTTCGGCCATTAATGAATATGATGGCATCCTTGTGGGGCAACAGGGTCACGGTGCTGTTACGATTCTCAAAGGTGCAGTGTTCCTTGAGAATATGAGAGCCGGACAGCTGAATGTCCTGCGGAACATTAGCTTCATGTGTGCCCAGACGTGTGAGTCCGTCTTTGATGTAGTAGAGCAAGCACTCCGACAAATTTGGATCTTCGTTCAAATTAACCAAGTGGGGTGTCTTTTTGGGTGAGAATACGCCCACTGTGATACCGTCCTCCTTCACGGCTACGCCCATCTCCGCAAACACCGCTTCACGCTGCAAGCGGATCTCCTCGGTGCGCTTGAGCTTCTCCTCCCAGGTCTCATTGAGTTCTAAGTGGAATCAAGGGTTAAGCGATTGGGTCTAGGGCCTCCGTCTGCTGGATCTTACCTGCAATAAGCTTCTCGCTGGCCTGCAGCTGATCCACAGCCATTTCTGTGGTAGAGCCATTGCGATTGCGTCCTTTGGTCGGCGACTTAATCACCGACGACTTGCTGAGCTCATCCTCTGCAAGGGGAAGTAGTAAAATAAGTGGTGGTTGACGGATTGATCAGTTGTCGCAAGCGCAGTGATATAAGCGTGCATAGATAAGTTAGGGGTTCGGTTAAGTATCATAAAAATATGTGGTAAGAAAGCGATTGCCGATTAAGTATTTGTTGTGAGACTTGGATGATGAACTCTGGCGTGTCCACGTCTAGCCCTGGAGCAGTGTGGACTGCAAGGAGTATGTGCCGCATCTTTTTGACTTGGCAACACAAACAAAAACTGCAGTGGGAGACGGGAGTCGATCGATTGACAAAGATCAAGCGAAGATCGTCGCTACACAATAGAGCAACTTGTCCAATCTTCCACTGAGTCAACTTTTGGTTACAATAAGACGCAACATAAATAGGACTTCAACATTGATTATCATAAGTATATATGTTATATAGGTTATATATAGTTTTAGATATATATAGATGTGGTATATACGGTATACGTCCTGAAGCGAATTTATGTTTACAAAAGCGCTGGAGTTACAAACAGTTTACACACACACACACACACACACACACACACACAAGATTCAGAGCTATATGGGCATGTGGGCACATCCAGTACATGATGGTATACGAAGTTGGTTAATTCTTTTAGTTGATGCCATCGAATTCGTGGCCTGGACATGCCCCTATGCTGCATATATGTATATATGCTTATATAATTGAGTATGTGACATATTGTCATATTTCATATATTGTGAAAGCCTTTGTTTTTGATTAGCTCAGTGTAAGTGGACTCTACTTACTATTCGCATCGCGCTTCTCACACACCACTTTGCCATCGGGTCCTAAATGAAACAGGGTTTGTTTTTGGGGTTTATGAACTCAGGCATAACTCTAAACTAGGACTAGAACTACGACTAACTTAAGAGTTGTCATTTGTGTTTTGTTTTCAAGTGTTCGGTATTTTTTGGCTTACGATTAGGCTTAGTAATGGTAGAGAAATATAATCTATGTATCAACATCCACTTACCCTCCTGCACCTCAATGCCCTCAGCCTTGAGCAGATCGCGCAACTTCTGAATCTCCTCCTTGAGCTCGCGTATAAGTTTGGCATTGGCATCCTCATTGACGACAGCCTTGCAAACAATTTGCTTGGCACGGTCCGCATAGCTGAAGGAGTTCATGACATGAATTGGGAGTACAGCTTTTGGTTGAGTTAAACCTACCGTAGGGTGCTTAAAGTTTCATCGTAGTTAATATCGGCTGGTGATATGGCAGCTATCATGGCTGTCTTGGAATTGCCGCCGAGATTCTCGCGCAGCAACCAGGTCAGAGCTGAGTCGCGATAAGGTATGAAGTCTGCCTTCTTCGAGTTCTTCTTCTTGGATACCTAATTTCAGTAAGAATTAGAGCAGTTCAGGAGTAAAGGATCACGCGGATACTTACAGACTGTTCGGGCAAGGCAAGCAGAAAAAAATGCAAACAGTTAGAAAATTTCCTTGAGGGAGAAACCATTCAGAATGCTTACCACCTCCGCCAATGCGGATATGACTTTGCCTAGGGTTGTCAAGGACTTGTTGATGTTGGCGCCCTCCTTCAAGCGAGTGCCCTTAGCACCTGTGGAATCGGCACGCTCCGAGCCAGCCAAGTCCACCAAACTTATCTTGGAGACTTTCTCAGTGACCAAGTCGGTCATGGTGTCATGACGACGCTGTGTAAAGAAAATGGTAAAAACTGCATGCGAGCGGGAGCTCGTCTCGTTCATGTTGGTAGCTGCCACAGTGCTGAGGATTGAACAGAGAGCGAATAAAGCAAACTGGATAAACGATCCCACTCGTCAACACCTACCGCGCCTTGTTGCCCTCGTCGATGAGATCGTGTATGTCCTGGTAGTCGGTGACAGCCAACTTGGACAGGTCCTCCACATAGGGACCCAACAGTGGATGTTCACGTACACGCAAGTTGCCTTTGTTTTTCGGGTTTAGCAAATCCCGCACGCGCTCGCAATAGATTTCCATGTAGGAGACCTCTACGGAATATTTGAGGTCGTCGGTTTCGGTCTCCTGAATGCGACCGAAGAGATCCTTGCATATCATGGGAATAATGCCCTCCTGCTGCTCCTCCTGCCGACCCATCATGGTGTAGGATTTACCCGCACCTGTCTGTCCATAGGCAAAGATGCAGACGTTATAGCCGTCAAAGGAGTGTTGAAGCATCTCCTCTCCAATGTCCTTGTAGACCATCGCTTGTGTGGAGAAGTCCGAATCGCGCGGCTAGAAATGATGTGAGATTAGTTATGCGTAATCGAGGGAAGCCTGCGGCTGGTCTTACATCATGCGACCAGTAGGAGTAATCAAAGTTGAAGCGCTTGACGGACTCGCTCGTGTTTGGTGGCACCTTCGGATTGGTAATGGCTGTAAGAAAAGTATAGGATAGGTTTATGATTCGATCTCTCTCTTAATTCTATCCTAGCTGCCTTACCCGTTGTGGCCCCGCTCATCTCAATGATGCATTTGGACTCCCGTGCGATCTCCCGCGAGTTGAACGGGCGCACTCGCACCGCCACCTTAACCGACGACATCTTGGCTGCTTGGCTTGTCTTAGGTTGCGGTTAACTGGAGTGGAAAAAGAATCCAAGGGAATGGGGTTAGCTCTTGGCAAGCGTTACGTTATGCGAGCCTGGCAATTGGCCCATAAATAAACCACAAGCCGCGGCGTCATTTTATAATTGACCCAACTGTGTTGGTGGGTGTGCCTTTCTCTGTGTGTGTCTGTATAGTGTGTATGTGTGTATTGTACATTGTGTCTGTGTGAGCTGTGACTCATGCAAATCGCTGGGGGCTTGAATCAAATTTATATGATTGCAGTGGGACGAAGCAGTTGATACCCAACAAGCAGCATGTGGCATGTTGCAGAGGCGAACGGTAATCGCACTCCAGAACCTACTATTTGATGACATATAATTACGAAAGCTTTCTATTCGGGACCATAAAAACTATATCACGCTTAGCGGCAGAAAGTAGGCAAATAAATGTTTGAGAACTTAATGGAAATTTAATTAAATATCTGTCTGGAAGGAAAATTCATTTCAAAATTTTCATTATTTATATACGAATTGAAAGATAAATATATACATATTACATACTACGGGCACCCTAAAAAACGTACTTTTAAAATAATATTAGTATTTATACAACTCTTAGTTTTTTTATACCCTGAACCCATTGAAAATGGGAAATCAGGGTATAATGGTTTTGTTAAAATGTATGTAACAGGCAGAAGGAGGCGTGGCAGACCCCACG